CGCTCCCGCCGCCGCCGCCGCTGCTGCCGCCGGGCTGCATCCTCGGGGCCCCACGGAGTCGTCAGCCATCTTCCGTCGCTCTGTCCGTCTGCATGGGCGAGGGGAACGCGGGCTCAACGAGGAGAGAGCTGCTCTGGGCGTGCGTGCGTGGATGTGTGTGTGCGCCCGGCAGAGCGCGCCAGCCCCGGCGCCCAGCGCCTCCCGCGAGCCGAGCCGGGGGCGGGCCGGGGGCCGGCGCGGGGAGGGGGGAGGGGGAGGAGCAGGACAGGAACGGGGGAGGTGGGGGGGCTAGCACAGCCCCCCGCTCCCGAGAGGGCGTGGCTTCCACCGTCACTGGGTACGCGGATGCTGCGCGGCTCCGGGGGCTGCTCTCGGCCGCCTGCTCATCCGCGGCGGGCAACGGCGGTTCGCGGCGCCCCTCGCGGCCACCACCTCTCCGCGACGTCTCCCGTGCGTCGCTGTCGCCGCCGGCTCCGACCCCGGCCCTTTCTCCTGAACTCCGGGATGTGGGCTTCGGGTGGCAGGGGGGGCGGTTGGAGTTGGCTTTAGAGCCGGTGCTAGTCGCGGCTAAAGGAAAAATGAATGGGAGGGGAAGGGAGTAGGTCGAGCCATGAAAGGGCGCGGGGACGCGAGGGCGCCACGCGAGAGGGCCGCTGCAGGGACGGCCGGCTGCGCTCGCCGCCTCCGACTGCAGCGCCAGAGGCTCGGGAGAAGGAAACCACAGGTTTGACCCAACCCTCAGCTGTCAGGATAGTGTCCCCATCCTGGGGCCACAGCCGAGCGTCCCGAGGCTGGAACCCCCTCAGGGGAGGTCCGCGACCTGTCTGGGTGGCCTTTAACGCGGCGCGCCCTTCCACTGCTCAGCCGGGAAGCGCTTGCCTTGGAGAGAATGACTTAGAAGTAGGACATCTCGGCCTTCAGCCTGCGTCTGCTCCCCCCGCTTCTCTGTTTCTCTCTTTCCCTCTCTCCTCCCCCCTCCTCCCCTTAGCTTCCGCACACACGGATGTCCCGCTACAAGTAACATCTTTACCGCGTGACCCCGCGCGCCCCCTTATGAAGGTGCCCTAGCCTTAACCCGAACGAGGGGACGTAGTGGGTGGGTGCTGCTGGGAGCGCAGGGTCCCGCGGAGATCCCTTCCCCATGGGTCGGGGGCCCTCGCCACGCCCGGCGGGACCTTCTCCCCACCCGATTCCACTCTCCCCACGACCCGCGTTCCGGAGCAGCGCGAGTCCCCTCGATCCACGCCCGGGGCCAAGGTCCGGTTGCATCCGTGCCTCGGTCTGGATTAAAACATTGGCACGAACCTTGTCTTGAAGCTTGGGCGAGAGCCGCGGCACCGAGAGCTCCCGCACGCTGCAGGGCACCATTGAAGCTCCTAGCCCAGCTTTCCCGCGCCGCGGCACTTTGTAATTACCTGACACAATGTGATATGGGGGTGTCCATTGTTCCACTGCCAGTTACTGTGGAGTGTTCATTATGACAGCGGTGGAACTTAAAATTACACATTTTTTTTCAAAGAATGAATTCAGTGTGTGTATGGGGGAGGGATGAGTAAGCTTTCCCCTAAAACCTCACTTCGGCCTGTCAGATGAGGCTCAGGGGGGGTACCACATTGCCCAATTTGCGTTTTAGCGTTGTTCGTTTCTTAAATGTCAATTAGGGGTATTTGAGAGCGTGGTCAGGAGGGCTTAGCACCTCCACGTTGCCTGGTTTGCATCTTAGCATCATTCTGTTTGCATATATGCCCAACTCCTTTGGGAGTGTCCTCAGAAAGACTGAGCACCTCCTCTTGCCTCTTTTCTTCCTTTCGCGGTGCCAGGGGAGCGAGAAGCCGCCGCACCCTGCTCCGCGTGGCGGTGTACATCCCAGGCAAGCCAGGAGGCCTGAGCGGAGCCCGCTCGCGCCAGCACCGAGTCGGTGAGAAACTCTTGCGTCCAGGAAAAGTTAAAAATCCCTGGGGCTGTAAGCAAGCAGAGATGTAGAAGAATCAAGAGAATAGGATGAAGACTTTGGAGTACTTTAAATAACAGCGATTTCCCAGTAGCATCTGGAAGGGAGATGGAGGGGGCTATACAGGATAGAGATCCGCAAATCCTCCGAGCCATGTCACAGCCCGCGGTGACTTGGGAACACCTACGATGAGCCACGTGGGCTGCATGGCTGTGAAGCCAAGCCCAAACCTGTTTGCATCACTACACCTCCTCTCTTGATCCCCTTGGGGGGGGACAGCGGCCATTTGTGGGGGGAGGGATGAGGAGTGTCTCCCTTAAGGTAACTGCTGGGAGGGAGAGAGAAAGGAACCTTGGGCTTTTAAAGCTAAATTCATCCTAAAACATTTGACAAATAATATGTGAGTTGGAGTAGGTTTTTTCCCCTTAGACTTGGGGAAATAGAAAACTTTTTGGATTTATGAATATTTTAAACTGTAGAAAGATACGTTGTTAACTGAACCAAAACGAAAGGGCTTTTGTGGTGTATTGTGGGAGTGGGGGGAAGTTTTGCTTTTGTTTTTTTTTTCTTTTAGAAACATGGAAGTCCCTCTGTTTCTTTTGGTGCCACAACTATTACAATTGATTCACTTTTGTTCAGCTGATATCAAATAACAAGTTATATACCCCAAGTCTTAGGATACAGTTTCACAAGAATAAAGTAAACAGAGAATATGAACTATAGCCCAGAGTTATATGTTGAAGCAGCTACACTTCCTTTGGAGAAGCTGACTAAAGAAAACAGTGAAGGCATTTAGGAATTTAATTTTTAAAATGTATTAATCAGCCACCTGTTCCTTTGCAGAAACATCTTCTCCAGAAAACTGAGGTAAAAAGGTTGTATTTGGACACAGAATGCTTATCCTTAGTGACAAGGAAACTAAGTATATATGAGGCAAACTTTAGGTGTAGAATGGACTTCAGAAGTAGGATTGTTGCAGTGTCAATGGCTAAATTCTTTCAAATGAACTACAGATGAAGACAGTTTTATTAAGAGTTGGTACTTTATGAATTTGAAATTTCAAGCAAAATAATGTTCATAGTCTGTAAAAATATTGTGCCACATGGGCAGGAACCATACATAAATACGTTGTGGAAGAGCCACACTCTGCTACATTGACTTACCCTTATGATCCAGCTCATTCTTTCTCTCTCCCACTCGTCTTTTCTCTACCACTCTTCCCTTCCCTCTCCTCTCCATCCTCATCCATCTAGCTCTCTCTCTCACACACACACAATATACACCCTAAGTTCTGAACATACAAAATTTGCCCTTAATTTTCTTTTCATTACCTCTGTCAGTCACCAAGATGCAGCACAAGGATTGTTCATATATATGAATATATATTCTTCAAGACTGCTCTTGATGATCATTTTAGCCTTTTGATTCACCTAGAAAACTTATCAGAAAATAGATGGGAAGTCACTGGGGTGATCTCTTTTGACCAAATCCTCTCTGGATCTGCCTCTCTATTATCTCCAAGAATTAATTAGTGCACTCTAAAAATATTTTCCTGCCTGGTGCCAGTGGCTCATGCCTGTAATCCTAGCTACTCAGGAGACTGAGATCTGAGGATCATGGTTCAAATCCAGCCTGGGCAGGAAAAAGTCCATTTAGACTCTTATTTCTAATAAACTACTCAGAAAAAAAAAAGCCTAAAATGGCACTGTGGCTCACGAGGTAGAGTGCTAGCCTTGAGTCAAAGAAGCTCATGGACAATGCGAAGCCCAGAGTTCAAGCCCCAGGGCCAGCAAAACAAATGAATGAATGAATAAATAAATAAATAAATAAAGAGAATATTTTCTTGTATATCATCTGAAATTAGTGTTCATCTTGAACGAGTTCTGAGATCTAGCCAAAGTTCAGAATTAAAGCACACATAAAATGGAGGAACAAATGCAGTAATGGTAATTCACTAGGCATTATGTTGAAAGTGAACTATACAACTTGTGGGTGGGGACAGGAAGGGAAAATGGGGAGAAAGGAAGGGAAGGGGTCACATTGTCCCAAAAGAAATGAACTCATTATCTGACTTACGTAACCCCTCTGTATATCACCTTTATAATAACAAGAAAAAGTTAAAATTTTTAAAAATATATTTCTATGCTGAACACATAGGAATTATCTCACTTAGTATTCACAAAATCCTTTGAGGTCATGTTAATTATCCCCATTTCAAAGATAAAGAAGCTAAAGATTACACAAGTTACTAAAACACATGCCAGTAAGTACTAGGACTTGACTTCATAACTTCCTGCCCAACTCCAGCTTTGGAGCTCTTAACAGTATGCTAATCTGATTTAGTGAATTTCTTTAACAATCTGTATGTTATTTAATCTAAGGCCCACATTTCACATTTTAACATATCTGATATTAAGATGCATCTTACATTGAATTCTTATCATATCAAATACATCTCTCCTCCCAATGGTATATAAATTCACAGCATATTTCCCCATCAGTGGTGTATTAGGTTTTATTGGGTTGTGCTGAAATAACAAGTCTTAGGAAAAGCTCAGAGACTTAAAACAACAAAGGTCCCTAATTCTTGCTCAAACACAGTCAGCTAAGGATCTCTGTGACTCTCTAGAGTGGCTTAGCTTCCATTTTATGGCTCGGTAGTGCACTTCTATACCATACCAGCATAATT